AAAGTTTGTAAAATAAGACACCAGAGTAAAAAACAGCTCAAGAGCTCCTGTCTTTTTAGGGCAGCCAAAGGTTCTAAGAATTGAAAAGGAAAAATTATAAAAAGTAACAGGCTGAAAGAAAAAAGCTAGTAGAGAAAAATCATGGCAAATGAGATACAGTACTTGAAATACAGTTGAGATCAGATGAATCTTATAGTAGAAGCAGGTAAATGCTATATTGACATCTCAATTTGGGCAGCTGGAAGATCAGAGGGTAAATCTCCCAGTTAACATCAAATGCCATAAATGTGGGGAGCTAGGCTGTAAGAGAAAGGTTTTTAAAAGGTAAAAGAACTTTGAATGCTAAAGAAAAGTAACAAAGAGCATGTAAACCTCCAGGTGTATGTCCCAAGTATAAAAAAAGCTTTCATTGGGCCAAACAAATGCCGTTATCAACTTGATAGAAGATGGAACACCTTTATTATAGGGAAATTATCAGTTGGGCTAGAATCAGGACCCACTGGTAAATCAAAGAAAAAACAGTTTAATATTTTCATTTCAAACCATTCTCAGAAAAAACAGTATAATTCAATTCTATGCTGTGGGAGCACTCTGCCAGCTTGGTTAGACCTGTGGTGCCTTAGTGTTAAAACAGGAAATTAAACCAGACCAATGGATGACAATGGAGAATAATTAGATTTAAAATGTTTGTGGAATATTAGGTTATCCTGTGTGGTGAAGGGGGGTAACCGACCTCTCATCATTGTCTGTGCACTACAACCGGGTCCAGCTAAGGAGACTGGACACAGCCCAAAGGGGAAGTGTCACTCGGAAGTAAGTGAAGCCTTTGGAAGATTATGAGAGGTGGGAACAAAGGGAGGGAAGAGTACAAGTTAAACCACCTCTGTGTTAGGAAACTCCATTTGAAAAAAAGTCTGGAATTAATTAGGAAAAATTTCACTGGAAAAGCAGCTTGAAAGCAGGGGAAACTCTGCTATCAAGGAATTGTGAAGGGTGGTACTTTTTGGACCACGAGTAACAGTTCCATGAGAGGAACTGCTAAGTGTGGAACCATTAATCCACGAGTAACAGTCTTTTGTGATCTGTGAAGGGTGGATTTCAGTACCTCGAGTAGCAAAACCTTTGGAATAGTGAGAGAAAAATGCTTGCTTGCAAAGATTGCAAGGAAAGTGTTACTTTTGTTCTCTGTTAAGTAAATATCAAAGGAAAGTTCCTACAGTTAAAGAAATGATAAATTCTATCAGGAAAGATTTCAGTTTTCTCCATTTAAAAAGACCTTTAAGGGAATTAACATCATAATCATTTTCCTCTAGCAGAGACTAATAGTTTACATCTGTATTGGGCTTCCTCATTTAAAGAGCCCATACCTGGAATTCTGAACTCTGATAATTACCATCTTTTGCCTAGAAAGAAAAGGGCTAGATAACAGGAAGAACGGCCCTTACCACATTAAAAATTTCGTTTGTATATGAAAAAGGGGGGAAATGTAGCAGCCCATATAGCCTATGGCTAGGAGGAGTGAGAGTTATAGGAAATACCTGTAATGGAACACCTTGGTGAAAAGGGCATGGAGAAAGATTTGGTTCTAACAAGCATGAGTGAGCTCGCGAGATGAGAGCATTGGTGAATTGGCAGTCTCTACACCTGTGGTGTTGAGAAGCACGAGCTCAGCCTTATATTAGGCTGGAGGAGAAGGCAGTCAAGAGGCATGCGCATTCTATCACGGATCCACTTACTCTGACTCTGTCTCCTCTCCTGCCTTCAGAACGCCAGCCTGGCGTCTCTGCTGAAGATTACCAAGCTCTGCTAAAGACTAAGAGCTAGCTGTTCTAAGAAGACCTTTACTCTCTCTAAGATACTCTGTCTCTCTCTCTCCAGCTAAAGTAGATAGCCCTCAAGCATCTACAAGAAACTGTTCCTGAGCAAGGAAGCTTAGTGATCCACATCCAGAACCTACCTAAGCTGGGCCCGAGACCTGGCCAGTCCTGGGCCCTGACAATTTTATACTTTTGCAGAAAAATCTGATCTTAGACAGAAGGAAGGTGATCTGCTCACTTGTCCCCTCCCCAATGCCATCTCTGACCTTACAAGGCCAAGCTCATCTTCTGTTCTTAGACTCCAGGGGGACACCATTGAAGGGTTTCAGATATGTAAGCTAATGGGTTTGGGCTACGTCTGGGAACCAATCCAGTGACTCTCATAGTGTGGCTGTCTGGAAGATATAAGGACAGATACCGCAGGTGCTAATCTCAGCTCACACTTGGCTTCCCAACTGCTGTTTAAACCCAAGGGCAGGGGATTCAAAACCAAAATACACAGCTAGGAGACCAGAAATAGGTCCCCAGCTGGCAAACAGCCTCTGGGCACACCATCTCTAAATAGCCCAGAAGGCTTGCAAACATTTGTGACAGAACCCCCTCCAAGAAGCCATACTGCTCCACCCCCAATTCCTTAAAGCTGAGGTGGCAGCCCTGTCACCAACTCACCTGCCAACTCCCCACTACTGGCCTTGTTCCTACAGGACCCCTAGGCAGGCCAGGCAGTTATGTCTGTTGGATAAGCTCAGCCAGGATGCTCCTTCCGTTCTGGAGCAGGGCTGCTTAACCAGGGTCCCCACGCTCTCCAGGGAGCCCTGGGTAGAATTCAGAGATCCCCATTCTTGGATGGGAAAAGAATATGCATCTTTGTTTATACTAACCTCTAACTGCAAACAAACACCAGTATCACCAGTTGTAATCACAGATATTCACCTTATTAAACTGTGGCAGGCACCTATCTTTTGACATTGCAGTAATCTTGAGACCTGACCCAAAGTTACCCCTGAACTGACTGATGAAGATGTTCCTGGGGCACATCACACAGTTGTCACACGCAGATACACTTCACCATGAGTGGTCTCTTTTGTAATATGTATTTTGTTTTATGTATTTAAAGTTCTTCAGAGAGGGGTCTGAAATCTTCTCTTAACTTATCAAAGGGTCACGTGTGGCCCAAAGGCCCAAAGAGCTGGCCTTGGCCTCTGCAGGGATAGGGCAGAACTCCAGAGGCCCCTGCCCCCAGGACCAGCCTTCCTGCCTCACTTCATGCCATGCCCAGCACATGAGGTCACCTGCCCATGGTGCAGGTTCCTGGTAAGGCACATAGTCCACTTTCTGAGCTGGTGCCCAAGCTGTCCATGCAGCTGGGAACACTTTCTCGCTCTTCTGTGCTGAGTCAAAGCCCCTTCCTCATTGCAAGTCTATAGCCTGGACAGCAGGGCCCAAGGGCTGTGGAACACCCCTGGCCACAGGAGGGTGCAGACAGTGCTCACAGCTAATGAGCATAGGGAGCCCCTGGAAGTAAGTGAAGAGCACCCCAGTAAATAACAGCATGATAGCTCTTTTAAGGGGGAGGTAAAGAATGGCTGAGTGTGGGGTGCAGTTAGCAGCTTGCTCCCCAAGATGAAGTATGGAAAAGCAGAAAAGCAGCTTGACAGTGAGAAGCCTGGCAGACACCACCCAAGCAGGGGGATCCAGGTCAGTGGAGGAGCCTGGCAGACACCACCCGAGCAGGGGATCAAGGTCAATCCCATCAGTGCTAACCCATGCTGACAGCATGAGCCCTTGATAAGATATGACAAGTAGGGCACTTCACCTCTCTGGTCTCACCCTGCCCGGAAACCCATAGCCCCAGTTGTACCGTGAGAAATAACACCAAAAACCTCGGCTGAGAAACTGTCTACAAAATGCCTGACCAGCGCTTCTCAAAACTGTCAAAAAGCAAGGGCAGTCTGGGAAACTGTTGTAGGCCAGAGGAAGCCAAGGACACGTGACAGTTAATTGTAATGAGATAGCCTGGATGGGCTCCTGGAGCACAGAAAGAACATTTGGGAAAACTTGAGAAATTCCAACGAAGCCCTGAGCCTGGTCAACAGTAACGTACCAAAGTTCTCTCGGTGGTGACAAATGCATCAAGTAATGTCAGATGTTATTATAGGGAAACAGGGTGCAGGATCCACGGGACCTCTCTGTACTACCTTTGCAAATGTTCTGTACATTTTAAACTCATCTTAAATAAAAGTTTAAATAAAACGAGAGGTTATGCTAAGACCGGTGGGAAAGGAATTCTCACAATGTTGATGGGAATGAAGCAATCCTAGAAAAACAGGTCAGAAACCAGCCGTCTCCCCAGCCCCGTCACAGACTCCTGGAGTGCTTCAGGGACAGAGTTTCTGGGACACATTCTAGCCATATAGGCCCATAATCCTGACCCCACTGGAGAAGGGCGCTGGGCAGTACGCTGGGCTCACTTTCCCCTGAGCAGCTGTACTGATAAGGCTAATAAAAGCCTTTTGCAACTGTGGGAGCTGACCTGACACCTGGCAGTCTCCATTCTGCTTTCCCCTTCTATTAAAGTCTTTGTCCCTGCACTGGCTGCCTCACCTTTCTTGTGGACACCCCCCTCACCCCATTCTATGCCTGAACCTCTCAAAACCTGTTTACATTTCTTATATGTATAGTAGAAAACAAAAACACCGCAATGGCTGTCACTGGGAATGAGGAAAGGGGTTGCTTTTCTGTAATAAAATGTAAAAACAAATACAAAGATGTTTCTCTCTAACTGGAGGTCAACAAGCTTTATCCTCTTACACTTTGCCATCCGAGCTTTTGGGCACAATGTGGCTGTCTGAACGTGCTGTGTGAAATTCACACTGATGAGTGTAAGGATGTAAAATGGCTGCTTAATATTTTTTATAGAAGTGGTAATATCTTGGTAATCTTGGGTTAATCATACTATTAAAATTAATTTCATCTGTTTCTATTATTTTAGCAAGTGGCTTATGCAGCTGACATTCTAATTCTGCTGCACAGCCTGCTCTAAAGCAAAGAGCCCTGGGTTAGGGGCTGTGGCAGGGGCCAACGGGTATCACAGACCAGTCATCCTTTCGCTGAAAGTCCCACCCTTACACCTTGATGTCGCACACACTATCTCTCAGGGCGAGGAATGAAGACACAAACCACTGCAAAGTTACAAATTTATTGGTCTGGAAATAAATACAAATATCTCATTAAGAAACTCCTCTGGAGAGACTTGTACATCTGCATCCAGCCACTCTTGCCCTGATCCTCGACCTTTCTGCACGAGGTCAGGGGAGCCTCCAAGGTGGTAGGTGGCAGGTAAATGAGTTATGACCACTCACGCCACCTAGAAGGCTGGACTGTTTCCTTCTGCCAACTCTAGGGTCCCAGAAACCACCAGGCCCCCATGGTTGACTCTCAATCTTCAATTCCCTATGATCAAACTTCCTCTAAGAAAACCCATAGTTAGCCAAAATGGAAATCACAGGCAGTGGCACAGGAACTTGGCAGCTCCGCCAGCACGGCTCAGAGACGTCAGTGGTGCCGCCCCATTCATTGTCAGGAGGTTAGCAGGGCAGGAAGACAAGAAGGCGGGAGAAGGAAGGACAGTGCTGTGGAACGTATGTTCCAGAATCCTGGCATTTTCCCAGCCCTATTCCCCATGTGAATTCCCACCCCCACCCCCTGAGAGCAAACAGTCCTATTTGAAGATCGACTGATGTTACCAGGTTAGAAATGCTCAGCTAGTAAGTATAGATTCAGGACCGGTTGTCAAGGATCAGAAACTGAATTTAACTCAAGGACACATGATACCTGGGAAATGGGCTGGAACCCATGGAAATCACAATCATGAGGAGTCCCTCCCATCTGGGAATTCAAGGACCGGCCCACCCCAATGCCCTCCTCCCCACCCCCCTGTAAGGAGAATCCCTGCAGCCAGGTATGGCTGGCCAGGACATTTCCCTCCATTCCAAAGAGTGCAACAAAAATCCACATCATTTTCCCCCAATGAACAAAAATAATCACCTGCTCATGCGTCTGGGGTGGGAGAAGGATCTGTGGGGAAGAGGCAGAGGGTAGAGCCAAAGCCTTCAAAACGCACAACACCAAACATTTGCCATAATGTTCCTCCGGCCAAGCCAGAGCTTTGGTTACCTACTTTCATTGTACATTAAAAGGACGCTAGAAAAACAGGCGTGTGGCTTCAGCATTTAGAGGTTTATATGCACCAACTTTAAAAACTGACTCCTTCAAGTCAGCTATGCGGATTTGTTTTTTCCAAATGCTTCTCTAGCCTCAAATCCCACCTTTCCCCCCTTCCTATTTTGCCTATTTAAAAGAGCTGTCTACACTACACTGCTCTCCCCCTCTCCAAATCAGAAAAGAATTTGTTTCCTGGAACTGGTCAGCTTCCCTTTAGCTGGAGAGGAAACAGGAAGTGGATGGCAGGCCTTCTGATCAAGGGCCCCTTTGAACCAGGATGCACGAGGCAGCCTGGGCTTGGCTTCGTGACATGTTTACTGGTGTGTTTCTTGTTTTTGGCAGTTTGGTGTCTCTGAGGGAAGGTAAGAGAGTGGCCGCTGGCCACAGGTTAATGGAATAGGACACTCAGGTGCCTCTTTCCTTTGGTCCACTGCTGCCCTGCCCTCACTGGAGAGGGTGCCTGGGAAAGACCCAATCTGTCACCACCAGAGCTCACTCTTACAAAATAAGCTTTGGATTAATACCAAGTTAGGCGCATGTGGCAGGCAGGGGCGGGAAGGAGCTGGAGGGGAGGGGGCTGCTATGGAGATCAGAGTCCGGGGTCAGCTGTCTACCCAGGCCACCTAGCAGGAGACCTCCATGGACTTGGGCCCGGCGCTGTTGCCGGTGGCACCCGAGTTGGGAGTGATGTCCAGGTGGGCTCCCTCGCTGGTGTGGGAACGGCTGCGGGTGCCCTCGCTGGTGTGAGAACGGCTGCGGGTGCCCTCGCTGGTGTGAGAACGGCTGCGGGTGCCATCCAGAGAGGTGACGCTGGAGCCAGAGGCTGTGCGGGACCTCATCAGGCGCGTCATGCTGGCAGAGGGCACTGGGGAGACAGGAGACAGCTGGTTAGGGGGTGGGAGACTGCAAGGTGAAGACCAGATGCAGCTGTCCAGCAGCCATGACGCCCTCCCACGTGGACGGCCCTGAACAAGCGCTCTTCCTGTCCTGCCCCAATCCTTCCAGCAATGCGGCCGGAGGGGAAGCAAGGCCCAGGTGCGGGAGGAGCTTGACAACCACCCAGAAGTGACTTGACCCAGATCTGGGTCTGAATCCAATTCTGTCACTTGCTTACCAGCTGTGTGGCTGTGGGGTATCCCTCCAGCTTTCCTACCCCATCTACAAAATGGAGATCCTACACAGATGTCCACCACCCCATGCTGTCAGCTGTCACTGGAACAGAGGGGCATTCCTGCTCAGCCACACAATCCCTACACAACCACACTCAGGGCAAGTGATGCCGCAAGGCAGGTTTGTTGCAGAGCTGTTAGCAGTCATTGCTCTTTTCTCAAGAAGTCTAAAAGCCTCAGGCATGAGTGAGGGTGCCGTCCATACTTCAGGATCACTTCTAAGACTTCTAATGCCCTTGAGCGTACAGGTGCTGATAGAGTGGAATAACAAGAAAATAAACAAACAAAAAATCCTTTCTACCTGTTCTGGGTTGAATAGTGTCCCCCCTCAAATTCATGTGTACCTAAAACCTCAGAATGTAATCTTATTTGGAAGGAGGATCTTTGCATATATAATTAGTTAAGGACCTAGAGAGGAAATTGTCCGGGATTTAGGGTGGGCCCTCAACTCAACAGTGGTGTCTTTATAAAAAGGGGAGAACACACAGGGCCACGGGGAAGAAGCCCACACAGAGGCAGAGACTGGAGTCATGCAGCCTCAGAAGCTCTGGGGCCAGGACTGGCAGAATCTAGGAAGGGGTGAGGAAAGGTCTCTCCTAAAGCCCTCAGAGGAGCACAGACCCACTGGCACCTCGATTTCAGACTTTTAGCTTCCAAAACTGTGAGGAAATAAATTTCTGCTCTTTGAAGCTACCCAGTTTTTGAGGAGTTCTTAGGACAGTCCTGGGATACTAATGCCCACACAATTGCACATAATCACTGGGAAGGCCACCCTGAAGAATGGACATCAGACACCAAGGCAGCTGGGACGTCCCCAGTAAGGGGGGCTTATGTTATGTGCTAGCAGACATGGGAGTTGGCTGCTGATGGCAGACACTCCCCAACAGAATCCTTGCTATACCCAGTTCCCTTCCTAAAGAGCTCCTTTTGAATCTGGAAGGAATGAGGGTCAATCCCACTTCTATAGCTTACATATTGTCTTTAAACCTATTTTTTCAACCCCAAATCTGGGCGTTCTCCTGGCCAGGATGTCAGTGCTAAGGTGACTGAGGTCAGGTGACCAAGCAAGGCCATGCTCGACACCATTGTGTGGGGTGGAGGGGACTCAGCGATTGGTCACTTTCTTTCCCTTTGGTTGATGCCTTTGGGGCCACTGCTCTTTCTGCTATTTCCCCTAAATTCTATAGGATGCTTTGGCCTTCAGGAAAGAGAAGCTGATTTGAGAGAGGAAAAAAAAAAAAAAAGGGCCCATCCTTTGCTTCCCCTGAATGCACCCTTGAAGCAGAAATCCAAACAATGTCATGCCCAAGACAAGCAAGAGATTCACGCCATGCAACATAAACACGGTCTGTGCCGAGGCTCTCTCCATCAGGACTTCTGCCCGCATAGCCCAGCAGGAAGGCAGGCAGAGGGGCAGGAGACCCACAGGCAGAGGCTTTCTATTGGGAGAGGGCATCTTGGGACAGGGCTCCCGCCTGAGGCATGCAAGCAAACTTACCCCTCCCTGCTTTGCTAGAACTAAGCATGCCTGAGGCCAATCTTAAGACTGGTTAGTTTGCCAAACATCCTGCTACTATTTTCGACAACCCAAGAGATTAAGAAGACAAAATACTGAAGTTCAAAGCCTTCCTTCTTAAGAAGGGCAACAAATTAACAGATTGCCCAGTATCTCACGTGGCCACTATTCAACCGCATCTTTAAACCCAATAGCGTATGTCCTTGTCCAGGGACGTCATTTCTGAGAAAACGGCAGTAGGGCCTGACTAACGACTAAACTATAACCCTAAAGCAAGAAGCAGCAGGTTCTTGAATTATGTTTCTGTTTATCCTTCAATTACAAGATTGCGTGAGTTAGCAAACATGTGTTCCGTCTTGCACACGAGCAACTCAACCCTACAGGCCACTTATACAACTTTACAGTTCTCAAAAAATTCTCTAAGCCTCAGTTTTACCACTTACAAAATGAGAATAAGAATCTCTCATAGGATTACAGTGATGGTTAAATGAGGAAAAAGGCTTTATTAATAATCTGTTATCAAGGCCACCATCATCATCACCATGTTTATCATCACTGTAAGAAAGCATGGAACCAAAATCTAAAATATTTTCATTGTTTCTCATGTCCTTGGTGCTTAAAGGGATAGTCCTCATCTAAATCAACAAAAATTTAAAAAGAAAAATCCCCAGTAGGAAACACCTTCTGTGTGATGAAAGAAGTGAACCTTTCTAGTCTAAACAGAGACTAGACTGCTGCACACTCCATACCCCTAAATATTTCCTCCTCTGCTCTGCCCAGTATTCAGGAAGCTGAAGCTGGCCCAGTGCATGGAGAAGACTCATCCAAACCTGTCTCAGGCACCTGCATTTCCAGCTCCCGCACCACCCAACCCTCTCCACGCTGGGCAGCATCATACTCACTGTAGCCCATGCCCTGCACGAAGTACTTGAAGGCCTCAGCGAGCTTGGCAGGCTGCGAGAGACAAGGAGACAACGTGCAGTTAGTCACCAGGGTCCAGATCATCCATGACCACCAGCTGACTGAAGCCCCAAGTCAGCTTCATTCACTCACTAGCTCAAGAAGAAGGCCACCATGGGTTGACAGAATAAAGCAAAAGGAAAGACAAGACTCGGGGATACTTCAGGGACCACACTAGCTTTAGCCAGAAAGGGAAAGTTCAAGTTCACATCACAATTATAGGAATGTGGACAAGTTATGTGATTTGTCTGAGTTAGTTTTCTCGCCTATAAAACGGGCAGAATATTACCACCACTGCAGGTGTTTCTGGGGAGGCCGCATCAGCCAAAGTGATGTGTCCACCTCAGCGTTCTCGCTGTGATAAGGGCTCGGCTACATCATTCCATTTACCCTTGACAACTACCTCATAGGGTTAGCAGTATTTTACCCACATTTTATAGCTGAACAGACTTGGAGAGGTCAAAAGTGGTGGATCTTACAGATCAACACAGGTTGTCCAAACCCAGAACCCACAGCCTCAGGGCAGCTCACCCCCGGCCTCAATAGTGGCAGGCTGGCTGGTGGAGGGAAGAAAGGACATAGGATAAATAGATGGGTGAAAAGGGAAAAAAGTCAGATGGAAAGAAAGAAGAATGGAAGGAAGGAAGGATGGACTGTTGATAGATAAAAAGAAAAAAGGGTCAATGGCCACAACGAAGGAAAGAGAGAACGATGGATAAAAGAAGAGAAAGGGGACGAAGAAAGGATCAAAAGAAGGAAGGGACGTTGGTCAGAAAAAGCAATTCATTAATTGGGCTACTTGAAGTGAAATGAGCCAGAAATGCTGAGAGCACAGCCAGTCCTACCAGTTACTCGCAAGCAATTCATCTCATGTGTACTAGAGGTGAATCCTCAGGTACCAAGGGCATATTTGCAGGCTTCAAGTAATTCCACCTGTTAAATCTAATACCCTGAGCCTCATTCTCCTGTGACAATGAGGAGTCATTGGTATTGCACCCACCATTCCACACAGAGCCAAACAACATTTAAAGGAGAGACTATGCTTAAATTGCCCTTTGAGACTTGTGTGACAAGGGCAAAAGGACAGGGGAGTTGGGGCTGCCGAGGACAGGATGTGGAGAGAACCAAGAACATGTCCTTGGGAACAAGAATCTCTGGGCCCAAATTCTGCCCTAGTGGGCAACCATGGGCAATCTCCCCCGTCTGTTAGCCTCCGTTTCCTCTTCTATGACACTGGGACAAAATGCTTGCTCTTCCTGCCTCCATGGATGGTTGCAAAAATTGACCCGAATCAAGGGTGAGAAACCCCTTTGTAAACACACACCCAACCAGTGAGGCACCAGGGGGAGGCGTCTGCACAGGCATCGCCTTCCCTGGGCGGTTTCCTGGAAGCCTGTGCTTGCCAGCTCCTGCTGTGGCCCTGAACATTGTTTTGATTATTACCCAGGGTCAGATCTGTTCTTGTTCCAAGTAGAGAAAGGAGGAAAGAAGGAAGAAAGGAGACAAGGAAGGCCTTAGAGGAAAAAAGTGACCAAAAATTCACATAATTTTTTGATAGTTCTCATTTTAAGATAGAATACCGAACTCTCATGATGTAAAATTGTAAGAATATAGGTTAAAAGTTCACTTGTTAAGTGGGTGGGGTTATTTATGAGCAGGAACTAGAGGAGTGAGTTGTGCAGTAAACATGCTATATCACTTGGTGTTTTCTTGTGTACATGCACTCAAGTGCACACAAATGCATGCAGACATGCATGTACACACATGTGAACAAATGTGCACATGTATAAGCAGAGACATCTGTGCACACCGTTTGTTTTAATCTCCTCTCTACCCTTCTCTTCTAGGCTGGAGCTCCCTGGGACCCTCTGCTCCTGCAGAAACCTATGGCCTTTGAGGCAGGCACGCTTAGATTCTGACTCACGATGACCGTGTTTCCACTTGGCCTCTAGGAACCCCAGTACTATCTACTCCACAGCGGATCAAATGAGTCCTTGTGAACAAGCACCTTTTATAAAGAGTAACACGCCTACAAATTGTCATCTCATGTCATGTGAGGCAGTAAGGACAAAGGCCTTACCAAGTCACAGAGGCATGCACACTGCACCCGGGGGAGGTGTCAGGTGCTTCATGCAAAAGCTAAGGTGGCACTCACCTGGGAGATCTGCGGGAGACCACCACAATCCGCCATCTAGGAGGAAGGGAAGCCAGTTAGTGCTGAGGTCACCTGTGCTCTAAGGCCAGTTCCAAGTGGGCATCCATCTACCTGTCACCCTGCCCGCTGAGGGCAACGGGCCACTGAGTAGGTGGAGGCTCTGTAGCCCCATCAAGCAAGGCTGCCACTGCTTTCGTTACTGTCCCCTCAGTATCAGACAGTGTCTCCATGGAAACCACTACCTGCAGCTTACTATGTGCAAGACACTGCAAAGCCCTAGAGATAATTTCACTCCATTCTCCTGGAGCCATGGAAGGCAGAAGCCAGGCTGGACAGAGCTGAGGGAATTTGCAAGATTCTGGCCAGGATCTGTCTGACCTGAAAGGATTTGATGTCATCCCCTTTAAGCATATTCCCGAGAAAGAATCCCTCATATGGACACTGTTAGAACGCAGCTCCTGGCCCAGTGAGTTGCCTGGCTGGCCACCCTTTGTAGACACTGTCCCTTTCAAAGTTCCTATGAAATTACCAAACCTAATGCATTGCCATGTAACGGAGGCAATTTTAGCCATGTGTTCATATGTGTCCCAACGTGGGAGTGAGCAGGGCCAAGGGCTGAGGGGCTCTTAGGCAGCAGGGTAAGGGGCGGCTGGAGGGATCAAGGGTGGGCCCTAAATCCAGTCACTGAAGTCCTTCAAAGAAGAGAGCGATTTGGTCACAGACACAGAGACACGCAGGGAGGATGCCAGGTGATGGCTCAAGCAGAGACTGGGGTGATGCAACTCCAAGCCCGGGAGCACCAGGGGCCGCCAGCAACTACCAGAAGCCAAAGAGGTGAGAAGGACTTACTCCCCAGCACCTTCAGAGGAGCACGGCCTGACCAAAACACAGGTTTTAGACTTTGTGCAGGAATGAATTTCTGTTGCTTTAAGCTACCCAGTTTGAGGCACTTTGTAATGGCGCCCCCAAAAAACAGCGTTATAGGAGTCTGAAGTCTAGCATCTTCTAACCTTGCAGGAAAGTGCAGGGGAAGAGCCTGACACAGGAGCAGCCCCCCCACTCAGTATCAGACAGCGCCTCCTGCACACTCTACTCCCATGGGGGGAGTCAAGGAACAGCGACTCACAGATGTCACTTCCTTAGCCCTCCCCAATACGGGGCAGCTGCCTCATCTCCCCATGGGCCCCTCTTGGTCACCTGCCCTCACAGGGTATGACAGGCTGGAAGGCCCTTCTTGTGCTGAATCTTTACCCAGGGCTGCCACAATGGTCTGTGGTCTCAGTTGTTGTACCATCAGATGTAACTGACAGGGCACTGGCGGAGATTGCAACAGACCCTCAAGTCCAGCTAGGAGACAGTGAGCATGCCAAGTGCTCCCAGGAGCCTGTTGGAGCAAGTCCTGCCCTTCCAACACACAGGGAGAGGTTTCTCTTCTGGGACAAGAGGGCCCTCCCAGAGGAATATCCCAGGCCACTCTAGAGACAGCTCCTGCCAAGCCCTTCCTGGCCTATCCCTCCCCAGAGCCCCATGACTCCTGAGATCTCAGAGAGGGTTCATTACAGCCTGAGGTCGACAGCGAGCACCCAAAAATGTTTGTAAACCAGATACATTAAGTCATTGTTGGTTTCTGACTACGAGCTCTGCCTTGTTCAGACAGAACTCAATTTTGCAGAAAACTCAAGGGTTTCTAAGAAAGAACAAATGCAAACTGTACTGATTTCCCTGTACCTTGAGGAGAGTGGTCTTTGTGGGGTCCAGCTTCGAGTTGCACTCCACCTGGACAAGAAAGAAGACAGTTGTTAATTTTCTACTGGAGCCAAAGTCAAAACCTTTCCCCCTTGCCTGCCACTCTGCCACTATCGCCAGAAACTCCAATATTCCCTCTAGCACAGAAGAAAAAATGTGGGTTTCAGGGGGCTTTAAATCCCAGCTCTTCCATTAGCAATTGTGTGACCTTAGACCACTTACTTAACATCTTTGGGCCTCAATTTCCTCATCAATAAAATGGGGGATAAGTGTTGTAATGAAGATTTGCTAAAGTGTAGAAGGTGCTCCGGAAAGCTCTGCTAAATGAACATCTGCTTTAACCTGCTTCTGCCAAAGATTCAGGTTTATTGTCCCCAGAGCCAACAACTATTCTTCATATTAAATCACATTGGCCAAATTGATTTTCTCTTCATTTTGTCACCTTGGAAGTGGCATCCAGAATTGGGCAGAATATCTATGCAACCTGTGATGTTCACGATGCCCAACATAGAATATCCCCTCCTGTGATGAGAATAACATATCTCTGTTGATGTATCCTCTGATTATCTCCAGTGGGTCTGCCTACATGAAACCCATGGTTCACTGAGGCACCCTAGGCCTCTACTACATGAACATCTACACAAGGCATGCCACCACTCTGGGACTCTAATCACTAACCCCTAAGTCTCCCATCTCCCCAGCTGGGGGGTCGTCAGAAAAGCTCTGTCTTCTCTTTTCCTCTGCAACATCACAGGTAGGAATTAAGGGGCAAAATGAGTCAGACAGCTTTGTCTAAGCCCCACTTCCAAGGTGTCTCTCTCCCCTGCCAATCAGATAGGGAAGATCCCCCTGCTTCCTGAAAAAGACTGTTTCTTGCCCAGGAAGCCAAGTGGCAAACACATGAGAATAAACAAGCCAATGGGATGCAGCCAGCAGGTGCAGGGCCAGGAGGGAAAACAGAGGGCCAACTGCCAAGCAGCCAGGGCAGGCAGCTACCAGGGAAAGAGACTGATGGCTGGGCCCTCTGCCTCAAGGCCAATAGAACATTTGAAAAATGTCACCTAATGTCGCCCTGATGGAGGCAGGGGAGGGAAAGGGATGGGCAGGGCCACTTTGCACAAACTCAACCAGACTTGGACTGTTCAGTTAAACCCAGAAAGCAGCTGTTGATTTCCACATACCACAGCATCCACAGCAGGGGAGCTGTCCCCAACAACCAGCAGAGCAGGGCACCTGGGATTAGGGAAAGACGGGAGCAGTGAGCATAAGGTTCATGTAAAAATTCTCACACTTCCAGGTCTGCCAGGCTGGGATTAGGAGTCTAAAAAATTTATTTTACTTTCCTCAGTACCCTTTCTTCATCCCAGTACCCTTTACTTCATTCTCCCTCCATCCTCTGTTTTGCTCTTAAAATAAAATGGGTTGGTAGTCATTTACACCTTAGAATGAACGTAAGTCAGAGAAATTCTGTGTCCTGATGTTTATATTTTAAAGCATCCCCTCATCAAGGATAGATGAGCAGAACTTTGCCAGTCAAGGCAGAGACAAGTACAGCACATGTGACAAAGGGAATGACATTCAAAGTTCCCGAGTGCCAGACAATGTGGTGCACTCAGAAAGCCACCAAAGGATACCATCATGCCCCCTGGAATCCCAGTTAGTTGTGTTCAGGACTGGCTTTCCCTCCAGGACCTGAAGTGCACTGTAAGGAGGTCCTGTGTCAGTTTCTAGGCTTTATGAAGCAATGCCTAGCACAGTTAAGGACACAGTAAATAAAGTACAGTCATCATTCCTTCCCCCAAATCAAGGGTTCCACCAGGTCGTGGGGACACCCCAAGAACTGATAAGACTTGCATACAAAGAGGGCTAAAGAGGGCTGAGCCAGACTGGGCACCACTCAGTCCCTGAAGAGAATCCGTCCAGTTCTCCCTGACTGTACTGTCCCACCACAAGCACGCCAGTCCCGCCAAACTCACAAGGAAGGCCCACTGCAACCCTAAGCAGCCGTAAGTGGTGGGGGACAGAAAAGCAACTCACTGCAGGGTGACCGTGTGGGTTCCGGGCATGGGTCTCTCTATCTCCAGGTCCCGCCGGCTGCAGGCAGAAATCACACCATTAGCATCAGCAGACCCTGCCCTGGATGAGGCCCCCACCCTGCTGAGCCAAGCCCAGAGGTTCAGGACATCCTGGGAAACCTCCCGCTCTGCCAACCCTGCAGCTTTCAGGATAGCACAGCCTCTTGGCATCCACGGTAGTGGTTAAAGGGACAGCATGCCTTAGGTGTTTCCAGTGACTGCAGCCCATCTCATTTTGTCCCAAATTAGGCTGTGATTTTTTATTTTTTTAACAGGAGCACAAATCACGCCCTCCACTAGAGAGGGTCCACACTCCCATCCTCACTCAGAGTCCCCACCTGAAAAACAGGCTGGCCTCCCAAGTGGCCTTCTTGCCCCGTAGTCTGAGCCCTACCCTCACCAACTCCAAGTCCTCTGAAGTGCAGCCACATGCTCTCTTTAGAACTCAAACCTGATCCTTTCATTCCTTCCTTTCCAGCCCTCCATCAGTTTGCCAGTACCACTGTGGGGCCCAGCATGGGGCTGGCCAGGTGCCACTCACCCTCCCCTGCCTGTGTGCAGCCCGCTCTCCGCAAGCAGGATTCAAACCATGTTCTGCTGCTTTCTGGCTGTGTGACCTTGGACAGATTACTAAACCTTTCTGTGCCTTTAGTTTCTCAGCAGGAAATGACAATGGTTATATGTCCTCAGAGTGGGGTTTTCAAGAGGATCAGTTAATTGCTATGTTGTCCATGAGGGAGAGGAAGAGTGTGGCCTTTGTGCTGGTTTCCTCTGTGTCCCTAGTGCCTAGCTGAAAGCCTGACCCCCCTCCAGCTCTCCGTAAACGTCTGCTAAATAAACGCATTTTGGAGCCTCTGCTTCATGGGTCACTGAGAATATTAGAGCCTCCCACGCTGAGATGCTGGCAGGACTGTAAGAGGAGACAGACACCAAACTCTGCTATACACACTAATTAACTTCATGACGTCAAGTATTAGCATCTGAGACACAAACCTGACGAGGCTCACTTCTAACCTCTTGGTGGGAGCCTCTGTGCAGAGCTAGCATGGCAGGCTGAGTGCCATGGAAGATTCCAGAATCCATGGCTGTCTGACACCAGGGACTCTGATCCGTGCCTAGCTGAGCTCCAGATAAACACCTTTGCAGAAGATTGTGTTCAGGTCCTCCTTGTCCCTGAAACCACAAACTCTCTCCTCGAGGGCGTCCTGCATTCCTCCTGGCCTCCCAGGCCGCTGAGCTGCTCTCTCACCTGACTTTTCTCACACGGCCTTTCATGAAGGTCGTCACAGGCACTGACTATCAACCTTTCAGGTGTGTAATCACAGCCTTCTGATGCCTGGTCCCCGGTGGCCTGGAGGAGTAGCTCAGATCCTTGTGAGGTCTGTGGAACTCCAGAACCACCTTCCATACCTGGGGTCCCTTCTGGGCACTCCTGTACTATTAATCTATTTGCTCAAATTCAGGGCTTGCACCTTCCACTAATTTTACAAGGCCCCGCTCCCTCGCCTCATGTCCTAGACCTACAGCGGGGCCCTGATAAACGGCAATCCCACAGCCAGCCGACTCCAGTACCTGTTGTAGGCGTTGATGAACAGGTGCAGGTTGCCGGGGTTCATGTCGTTCACGATGTGCTGGCGGTAGGTGTGGACCACCTCCACGTTATTCTGCATCTCCTCCTGCATTTGGAGAGGTGAGAGCACATCCTTCACTGTGCTACGGCCCTGGAATGGCCACTATTCTCTCTATTCTCCAGGTTATTTGGGCACAAAGTAAAGACAACGACTAATCCACAAGCCAGCTATGGGACCAAGGAAATCTCTGGGTAAGCAGCATACCAGGACCCAGAAGCACACAGGGGCTTGGGCTATCAGCTGGTAGCAGGAACAAGCCCAAACTCAGAAAGGTGAAGCACCTCCTCTGGGCTCATCCCCCGGGGGGAGGGGGGGTTGATTTGAACTCAGTCCTTCTGCATCTAGAGCTTAGCTTCAACATTCTCCATCTGGGGGGTGTATTTTTTAGCCTCTCTGAGCCTCAGTTCCTTCATAAAAGGGGAATGATATTACCTACTTGACCAGCTTGTGGGACTTAATAGAGGTGTGCACACACAAGCCCTCCACAAACAGTAAAACAAGATGCGAATGTTAGCAATTATTTTTTTAATGGGAAGAGTTTAAGTTTTTCAAGCTTGAAAAACAGAACCAACTCATGTAACTGGAAGTCACCAGAAAGGCAGAAAGGCCAGCAATTTCCATTCCCACAGGGGGTACAGCAGAGCCTTGAAGACCGTCAGCCTCTGCCTTCCCTCTCTCTGGACGCTTTCAAATGTGATTTGGGACAAATGAGTTATAAGCTTGCTCTGTTTCTCATTTGTATAATGTCAGACACTGTAGGTTTCACATGAAGTCTGATGAGACCAGTGGCAACCAAATCAAGGGGCGGGGGTAGCAAAGAAAGCCCATGTCAAGCTTCAGCTGCATCAGAACAGACCATGATCATTTAAGCAGCAAGGAGGCCAATTGGCTATCAACAGAAAAACCAGGAAAAAATAATCTGAGGGATTACACGGGGATTTCTATCAAAACATAATTGCAGCAACTTGGGGGCACCAATAAATATCCTCACCAGCCAGTCTCCAAGGAACTAGGGGTACAATCAGGTCAGATGCCCAACTCTACACCTGACAACCCTTCTCCAAAAAAGTAAGAAGCACCAGTTTGGAATTTTTCTGAATTTCTGTTAGTTTCAGATGACACACTCAGGGCAGACAAAATGTGTTACATACTGTGACATGAACCATAAATGAGGAAAGAGAACTACGGGAGGCCTCATAGTGGTCCCCTCTAGATATGTCCATGTCAAACCCCTGGAACTTGTGAATGTAATCTTATTTGGAAAAATGGTCTCTGCAGGTATAATTAATTAAGGATCTTGAGATGAGATCATACTGGATTATCCCAGTGGACCCTAATTCCATGGGAAAATATCCTTATCAGAGAAAAAACACAGGAGATTTGAAATAGAGAAAGTCATGTGAAGTCAGAGGTCATGTGAAGTCAGACTGGGTGAGCTCCCACTCGCCAAGGAATGTCGGCAGCCCGCTCTCCCCTGGAACCTGTGGGAGTCACAATCCTGCCAACAGCAGATTGAAAGAAGAATGGACTATTGAAATACTCAACAGCGCGAATAGATCTTAAATAGTTATGCTGAGGGAAAGAAGCCAGATAAAAAATAAGCACATGCTGTGTGGGGCCATTTATATAAAAATCTACAAACTGAAAACTAATCCATAGTGATCAGAAGCAGATCAGAAGTTGCCTAGGGAGGAAGAAGGGGAGGATGACCACCAGACACGGGGAAACTTTTGGGGTGATAAAGGTATTCATTATCTTGGCTTCTGTGAAGGTTTTACAGATATATGCATATCAAATGTAGCAAATGGTACACTTTAAACATGTACAATTTATAGTACTTGAATAAGGCTGTTAAAGGATCTATATATAAAAAGAGAAGAACTTGTCACTCATGAATGAATATTGTCACATTATTTCATAGGCATTGGGATGGGGTGCCACTGACTGTGTCTTGTCTGTCTCCACCCCCGCTGGGCCCTGTGCTGAACATCACACAACTAATTGCTGAGTGTGGACAACACAATTCCAGGTCATGCCACTCACCTTCCCAAAGAGGTGGGACACCACCATGTCAGGCAGGGCTTGGGTCCATCCGGAGATCTGCAGAAGATCAAAGTAGGTGGATTAGGAACAAGAAATTAATAGGAATTAACAAGGTCAGCAAAACCACTCTGCTCTCTAGAGCAGATGTCAAGCTCCCCTCGCAAATAAAACACCTGCCTTGGTGGGAACTCGGTTTCTGTCTCCAGTTCCCACTGGACCTGAGTCCCTGGATAGCTGGGCCTGGGGCTCCTTCTAATCCCTCATTCCCAGAGCCCACGCACAGGAGGTTCACAGCAAATCGCTGCTGCATAAAGACCCAGCCAGCTCTTAGCTTGTCTGCTCAGAAGTTCACCAGTCCCTCAGCAGAAGGCCCCCATTCACCTCTTGTAAACACACACTGGGCCCCTCAGTCTATACCCTAAGTTCTGCCTGGCTCCGACTATCTCATATCTATCATCCCTAGCCTTCTCTCTCAAGCCAGTTTCCTCTTTCTAAATATACTGAGACACCAATGACCTCCTCTTTACCACTCTCCATGTTGCCTTTAACATAAGGCATAAAGCAGGAGCTCCATAAATGCTCCCTATACAGCCAGAGCTCCATAAGTGTGTGCTGACTAACTTTGGCATCAGGCAAGGACTGGTAGGGGAGAAGCTCTAGACCTGGCAGTCCTCAGCTGGCCCTTGAGGGCCATACCCCACCTGTGGGGCACTGGACAGGCTACAGACCCCTGGACCTCAGACTTCTCATCTGGAACTGCAAGTGCCAGGAATGTCAAAGTCAAGGTGAGGACCACAAGGTATAGCGCCATATGTCACAGTGTCTGACGCTAGTGCCTGACACACAATAGGCCCCTGATATAGGTCTTCTATCTCCAAGACTAGGGTTGGAAATAAAGGTTATGGTGCAGATATTTAAACCCCATAAACATCTCAGGCTCTGTGTTAGCAAGTGGTCAACGTCCCCAGCCCTCCAAGTCGGGCTCAGAACAGCTATCAAGGAGCCCAACTGGCTGAATGAAATGTCACTTCCTTTGCTGGAAAATCAAATGAAAAACAGTGTGTTCCGCTCCTGAATGTCATGCAGGCAGGACAGAAGGTGCTCCCGCACTCTGGTAGAATGGTCAAGGAAAAATATATAGTATCAGGGTTTCCAGGACAGGGATGGGAAGTGGACGGAGCAGTATGACCCCTTCAAACAGCTATCCCAAACTTGGCAAAAACATCCTCTCAAAATGAGAAGCCAGGATTAGCCCAGCTTGAAAGGCCCTGTCCTATTTCAATTGGACTGATTTCCCCCCTCTTGGCAAACACTGAGGCCATTATGGGGACAAAAAAACAATAATAATTTTTAAAAGATAAACAAGAAACCACAGGACACCAGCCAGGGTGCAGCTTCCCAAGACAGCTCAGGCCTCCTCTTGTTCAAGTGGCCTGTTTTGCAGCCCAAGCCTGCCTGTCTCCCACCCTGGACAGGAGTCCAAGAAGTGGGTACAGTCAAGCCCACAGACCATACAGCAATAGGGTTCTGTGTCCAGCCCCAGCCCCACTGCCTAGCTGCGTGGGAGCCTGGACAACTTCCCTAACCATTCTGAGCCTCCCTTCCCTCCTGTGTAAAATGGTCATCAAAATTCCCACCTCCTGGCATTACTTTGAGGATCAAACAAGGTAATGTACACATTAGAACAACTAGAACTAGCACACAGCAAACTCGATAATGTTAGCTAATTATTACAGTGAAATTCAGTGGTACAGTCAGTACTAAATACACGTTTCTTTTTCATTAATAACATGTGAATTCCTGAGATGGGAGGCTTTTGTCTTGTTCATCCGTAGAAGTCTTATTTATCAAGAAGCCCAGCACAGGTTAGGTGGCCAGCAAGTATTTTTAATCTGAGTGATGCTTATCAAAGCTGGCCCAGTGGCCCATGGTATCCCTGGCTTAGATCCAATCCTACTGAAATTTTGTGAGTGGCAGATAACTGAGGTCATGTTTACAATTCTAAGCAAAGCAGATGAAAACCGCTGTCTTCCCTCAGTGGGCAGTAGGGTGGTGCAGGAGTGGGGTGAAGAGAGCTCCAAGGCTGCTCAAGGCAGGGGCTGCGCGCAGGGACCCCACCCACCTGACGGAGGCCCCCAGCCTCACCTTAGAGGCGGCCCAGTCCATCCAGCCTTCTGCACAAGGGTTCACGTTGATGAGGACAAGACCCTCCACCATCTCAGGGTTGTTCAGCTGCAATTAAAAACTTAAAGTGAGACAGACAGCCTGGCAATCTGAAATAGCGTGGACTCAAAGTCAAACCGAAGCTTGAGGGAAGTGCCCAGCATGGGGCTCCCAAACTCATGAGTTGTCACCATCCCCCGACTCCCACCCTATGAAGAAATGAGGTTCCAACTCAGCAGACACTGGATCAGGCCCTGCAGAGGGTGGATAAGGGAAAGAGGAAGCGTCGGGAGAGGCAGTAACACACGCGCCTCAAAGACCTGCCCGGGGCAAGTCTCATCAGCTCGCTGAGCCCCAGCTTCCCCAGTGACTGAGTGGGTGGAATATACCACCGAACCCATAGGTCAGATGGGGTGCCTAAGTGCTCTCTGGTCCTAGCAGGAGCAATTCTGTCACTTCTATATATTCACACAAACACACGTGCATACACAGTTATGCATCAATGTTCTGAGAAACATGTCAGAACATTTTGTCATTAAAATCCTACAGTGTACGTATACAAAGCTGGATGCTACGGCCTGGTACACACCTAGCCTCCCCGGTATGGCCTCTTGCTCCCCAGGCTACACTCCAAACAGCATGTTAACACATGCAGCTTCAACACGAGGGAACTTACTTGTGTCTAGAAACAGGTCTAAACAGAGCACAGGAACAGTGAATATGGTGCCATGATCTTATGGGACTATCACTGGATACACAGTCTGTCATGAATCAAAATGTCATCAGGCAGTGCCAAACTCTGCGTGTGTGTGTACAGGATACAGCTGAGAGCTTTTCTGTTCAATCCGCTGGCAGCCTGGACCAGTGATTTTCAACTGGTATGCCGTGAGAGGATCTTAGGTGTGCCACAAAAAGTTTTAAAGATCCTTTATATTTTCAAAAGAAGTCCAAAGCACCATAAGTATATACTTTCTTATTCTTTTTATTATCAACATGATTTTAGTGTGCCAAGAAAGTTTAACTAGAGGTTGAACTGTGCCGTGAGATAAATAAGGTTGAATAACACTGGCCTGGACAGCCAGGTCATTTTGTATTCACGCCAGCCAATAACAGCTAGTCAAAATACCTATGGCGGTTAAGATGAGCACTGTGACATCTTTAAACAGTTGTTTGGTAAGTACACAAAGGAGCCAGCAGCACTTGACTTGGGTCCGAAGTAATGACAGTTTGGCAAAGGCCCTGTAAGCGGTGTCTCTGATTCTAGTTTGGAATCACTTAGGATCCAGGAGCGCTGCACTGCAGAAAAGCAAGCAGCTCTTCCCAACAAGTGTCACAGCAGAATTCTCAGTGAGCAGCTGTCCACACTAGACAACTAACCAAACAAAGCCAATGACCATAGAACATGGCCACTGTCACCTTTCAGGAGAGGAAGAAGAAAAGCCTCAGCACACGTGTGTGAGTACACAGCACACACTCTCGCACACACACAGCTCATTTCTTTGTCCCTGTGGATTTCTTCATGCTTATCCAAATGTCTTCCCTAATCTTGAATTTATTTTATTTAAAATGTAAATTTTTTAAACTGCAAAAAAAAAAGGAACTCACAGCAAATCGAGTTAGGATGTAGGCACCTGCTCCTGTTCCCATGCCGATAATGCTTTTCAGCCTGGAAGCAGAAAGAAAATGCGTGTCAGGAAAGAGCGGCAGGGGCCCTGACAACCCCCTCGGGACTTCCTGAGGGTGGCTGGCTAGCCAGGCAAAGCCAAAACAGGCTGCTTTGATGTATATGGATCACCCGAGATGTACCACACTCTATGACTGGACAGAGACGGTGACCTGGGAGAAACTTGTCTCTTCTCTTTTTTTTTTTTCTTTTCCTGGCTGCCGCCCAGGCTCTGAAAGACCATCTGACATTTACAGGAAGGCCTATTACGGCATCACTGCTGCCCACTCTTAAGCTTTATTTTGGATTCTAAAACTTGAAATGAAAATAAATTGAGCAAGAACCAAGAGGTATTATCATCACACAAAAGGCTCACTATAGAGAGGAGCATTGGGAAGAAGAGGGTTTGGAGAGGGAAGCTAAGGTCTCAGGCAACCGTGTTCCAGAACATTCCATTGGAAGGAGAAGGGAACAGAAGAACAGGAGGCAAGTGTGGGGTGGGTGAGGTGGCTGGGGTGGCTGTCGTTACGTAATATAATGTGTTCACTGAGGCAGAAAAGCTGAGGTTACAGGAGGCAGACAGAACGCAGAGACTGCGCAAAGACTGGTGTTTACAAAGTATGATGAGCTCATTTCTTGCCTAATCTTTAAACTCCAACCCCAAGTTTGTGGGCAGGCCAGATCAAGTCCTCAGGAGAAGAGGAAGCTGAAAGCCACCCTCCTCTGCAGATTGGGGGAGTTGACCCCTTGCTCTTACCCAAACTGGTGAAGGACTCCAGGAAGCATTTCGGCCAGTTGGTCCATAGAGGGGTACATGTACCTGAGGAAGACACAGAGGGCAGCTAGTGACAGCCTGGACGCTGGGGGTCTAGACAGGGACACGCTAGCAGCAGCCTGCCCTGTGCACCCAGAGTCTCACCCTCCTTCTGAGGTCCCCATGACACCCCCTAACCATCAATGGTGTCTTATGCTCCAGGCCCCATGTAAGTATTTTATGAGCATTTCTAGCTCATTAAATCCTTGCACTAGTTCTGTGAAGCTGCTATGACTGTCCCCCCTTTCCAGATCACAAATATCCCTGGGGCTGAGAGATGAGCCACTTGGCCTCACACAACCAACAAGCAGCTGGCCAGAAATGGCTGTCCTCCCTGTGTGTGTTTGGTTTTTGCTCTGAGATGCTGTAGGGGTGGGGGCGACTGTGACTAGAAGGCATTTTATAGTTCCTCAGGGAGGAGCCAGGAGAGCAGGCACGGAGGGGAACATCCACAGGTGGAAGGATTATCCCAGCACGTGCCAGGGGCTTGGTGAGGCAGTGGAGAGAGGCTGAGCCAAGCAGACATGGCCAGCTGCAGAGCCAGCCAGCGAGTCAACAGAAACACGGGCGTGGGACTCACAACAAAGGCTACAAAGGGAGCTCAGAGTGTCAGGAGGGGAGACTGAGACGGGGAGGACTGTGTGAGCATGTGGTCAGGGAGGGCTTCTTGGAAGAAGTGACACTGACGTGGTCACAGGAGTCCAATCTGACTCCATGTCTCTGCAGCCTCTGAGCTGAGAAGGCCCCCAGCAGAAGAGTGGCAGAGGCATCATGCTTGCCTGGAGTGGCCATGGCTTAGTATGGACACACAAACTGTGTGACACTGGAGAAGCCACTTAGCACCTCAGCACCTGACATTAGCACCTTAGCTTCCTCCCTGCCCCCAGGGCTGGTGCACAGCCAGGAGACAACTGGATTCTGCTCACAAGGTCTCTGCTATGTGGGAAGCAGACTCCACAGCGAGAATGGGCAGGACCCCAGCCATGGAGGGGGCTCACCTGGGACATCCTCAAACCCTGAACCCCACCTCACCCGCTATAGGAGGCAGAACCAAGCTATTCCCACCAGCTGCACACTCCTATCACCTACACCCTGCCTTTTGCCTCCAAATTCCTGGGGATGGGGCCCAGACCTCTGGATATATTTAAAACTTCTCCATGGGGAGCCAAGAACTTCTACTTTGTGCCAAATCTTTCAAACAGTTGGTCCAAACAGACAGGTTTACTGGCACACCTCAGGCTTTATCTGCTGGCTAACAATTAACCATGTTCTACTGTTTTAATAAGCTGTTAGTTTTAGGTATTAGCCCTATGTGCCTGGGTGTCCCTTTTCTAGCTCTCTGATAAAGGTTAATTATTAAGGATAATTCTGAATGCTAATCAAAAAAGCTATCTATTTGTAAATGCCAAGGCCCCTCTAGAAGACTTTAAACCCAAGAACCTTCCCCTGCCCTGGTTTAATCACAGCATCAAGTTCCTGACAGGGGATGGGGCCAGGGGGAAGGGCATCTCTGAAGTCCATCTGAGTGGTGCTGACTGGGGGCTCAACAGTCTGACCACAGCTGCACAATGGGAAACTAAAAGGCCATGTCCCAAGCCGCCGCACGCTGAGGAGGGTGGGACGTACAAGCATCACCTGAACATGGGCCCTGTACTTGCACGCTAGAGTTATAGCCAGACTCCCAATTCTGAAGCTGTGTGGCCTTGAGCTGAGTAGTTAACACCTCTATGCCTCAGTTTCTTCATCTGGAAAAGGAGGTAACAACACCAGCCACCCATAGCTAGCCATACATAAGTGAAAATTACTTTTTAAAATAAAAATAATTAACCTGGATGCATAGTAAGTACTCCATCAATATTATCTCCTTCTCTCTATTTTTCTTCCTGACTTTTGAGGTTTTTCTCCTCACTATTTGGTCATGTCAAGCCCTTCTCCCACTTTGGTGCGGGCTGAGAGCACCCATTTAAAGCCAGCCTTGCAGGGGATGGAGGAATGGGAAGATAGCATCTAATGGGCTCCGAGTCTCTGCTTGGAAGTCCTGGAGACGGATGGCGGTGATGGCTGCACATGTCTGAGTGTACTTACTGCCAATGAACTTAATATTTAAAAACACTAAATCTTATGTTATATATATTTTGCCACATAAAAAATGATTAAAATAATAAATTTTGTTATTTTACCACAATAATACTCCCACATCCCCCAGGTTCCACTGTGCAGGGCTCATAGGACAAGAGACCCCCAGCTCACCCCATGGGGAAGGAGGCAGCGCCGTCCTGCTGGCCTGGGGCATCCACATGGCAGACAGCAAAGTGCTGGGTGATCTCCTGCATGTCCTCGTAGTTGAAGAGGGGGTTATAGCAGGTTTTGTCTGAAGAGCAGGCAGGGGAGAAAGATGAGAAAAAAATTAGGTGGCTTGCTGGCAAAGTGCATTCAGAAGAAGGAACACAGATCTTGTTTGCTGTTTTCCCATTTTTACTTTCCTCTGGTGATAAAAGGCAAGAATAAGTCATGGGCCAACGGTGATATCTGGCAGGTGAATCTTAAACTTGCAGTTGGTGCTGAGAGGGGCTCCTAGTCTCCTGTGGCTTTCCCATTAGTGATGATTACAGTGGCCCTGGCATGAGGTAGAGTGCTTCATTCACTAATACTCTCTTCTCTGGATAATGCTAAACTCTCACATCTGGGGCACTCACTAGAACATGCATATCACAATTTGTGGTATATAATGTATACACTTTTGCCCGTATTTTTGAGGGAGAAATAAGGATGCGCAGTATAGATGGGTAGTATTATTTGTTACCAGTACACAAAATTTCTCATATCTTGTATCTGTTCCTGTGCTTTGTAATTATTTGTTACATAAAATTCCTCATGTTAAAAAGTAAATGCTAAAATTCCTTTATAATACAAAAACCGGTAGCAAAATGTAAACAAATAAATATGTGAATTAAAAACTAGGGAGGAAGATGGGTGGAGGGAGGGTAATTGGTGGGACCACACCTACAGTACATCTTACAAGGGTACATGTGAAATTTACTAGGTGTAGAATATGAATGTCTGAACACAATAACTAAGAAAATGCCATGAAGGCAATGTTAACCAGTTTGATGAAAATATTTCAAATTGTATATAAAACCAGCACATTGTACCCCATGATTGCATTATTGTACACAGCTATAATTTAATTAAAAAAATTAAAATGAAATATGTTTTTCCTGAAAGTTTAGACCATAACCAAGAGTGTGCATTACACACAGGAGCACATTATACATAGCAAAATACAAGAATTTCCAAACAAGGAGGTAGGTAAAGAACAGATCCTCTGCTCTTATGGCCTTGGAGTAATCTCAGTCTCCTAACTGCTGAGGGTCTGAGGCAAAGATGCCCAGCTGCTCACCCAACCACATCTGTTTTCCACCTGGGTATACAGCTGGACTACATTTCCCAGAATCCCTTGCACTGAGAGCAGCCACATGATCAGATTCTGACCAATCACATGAAAGGCTCGCCATTTTCTCACAACACCTGTAAGATTCTCTCTTTTCTCCCATCTATGTACCAGATATTGTGTTGCCAGCAGAAGTCTCCAAAACTCCAGGGAATGGCAGAACCACAAGCAACACATACCCTGAGTCCCTGAATTGCCAGATATAGAACCCACCAAATTATTATAGGAGTGAGAAGTAAACACATATTACGTTAAGCCACAGAGGACTTTGTTATAGCAGTTAGCCTACTGGAACTAAAAATGAGTCTCTCCAAATGGGGGAATAATACTGCCATATGGAATTCCATGTGCCTGACACAGTCAATGGAACGAGATGATGGATATCAAAACACCTAGCATCAAACCTGGTGCATAATGGGTAAGAGGGAAACAGAGCAAGTGAGATAAAAGAAAAGTAGACATGAAGGGAAAAGATGGGTTTTCAGTGACCCAATTCATCCCCAGCCTCAAGTTTTTAATTAATAAATGTCATGGGGAAAAATGAAAATTAGCCTGCCCATCAATCAAAAATCGAGCAACGCCCAGCCTACAGTACTCAGGTTCATAATGATTACTGGACCAGGAAGGCCTCTAAGTGCCTTCTGAATCATCCTGGAAAGATTTGCCTCAATCCCATGTAATTTTAACATGAAGTACCTCCCATTCCATTCCCATCTATGAAAAATAGGGAACCTACATGTAGAAACCCTTCTGGTAATCATAAGAATTCCCTGTCTAAACATTCATTAGCACCATTATTCATAATAGTCCCAAAGTGGAAACTACCCAAATGTCCATTGACTAAAGAATGAATAAACAAAATGCAGTCTATCCATACAATAGGGTATTATTCTGCAGTAAAGGAATACAACTCTGATACATGCTACCACATGGACAGGCCTGGAAAACTTTATGGACAAAGCTGGTCACACAAAAATTACATATTAATCTACATATATAAAATTCCAGAATAAGCAAATTCATAGAAAAGGAAAGTAGATAGGGGGTTAGTCTTGAAGGAAGGGGGATGGGTGGAAGATTGGGGCACTACAGACAAAGGGTATAGGATTTCTTTGTGGAGTGATGAAAATGTTCCACCACTGACTGTGTTGACAGTTACACACGCCGTGAAAATACTCAAAATCATCTGTACACATTCCAAGGCTCTGTCACAGACAGACAGTGGAGAGCTGCTTGTGTTCCCAGTGACTCTGGGCACACAGACAACTCCATGCCCACACATGGTGCATTTCTGGCTCTTCCAGGCTGTGGCAAGAGTTCTTCCCAGAACAGCTCCAGGAAGTCCCAGAAAAGAGAAGCAGTCAGCTCTGGCCACCAGCCCTTCCTGGCTGCCTTTCTCCTTTACTGTCTTGGGAGTCTGCTGAGCAGGGAACCCTGGCCCCACAGAACTTACGGTTCATGCCAATGTCATGGTACGTGAGGATGACGGGCCGGTTTCCCTTGGGGGTCCCACACAGCGTGACGTGAATGGAGCCATGTAAAGTCTCGATGTCCTGCTCCTGAGGAAAGAGAGCAAAGGGCCTGTCAGGTGGGGTTCACAGCACCCACATGGCTGTATTAACTGACTAAAGACTCCCAGCACATTTCTGACGGTGTTTCGTGGGAGCTCATGTGTGGCCATGGAAGCCTTGGGTTTCAGGCAGCAGGTCTCTCTGAACAGAAACCACTCCCAGAATGAGGGAGGGAAAGGGAAGCCCAGCTCTCACAGAGAACAGTGCCTGGATCAGACTGTGCTGCTAATTGCACAGTCCTCCAGGAAAGGGACAGCCCCAGCGGCCTTCTCTGCTAAGACTTAGCTTTCTCCACCTTAAGTGGAGGCAAGAAGTCCTGAGCTCACCTGCTCCCATGCCTCACCCCCCTCAGCTTATTGTATCTGTGAGGGACATCTGATGGTTCAGAACTACCCAGAACTCATTCCCTACTTCCAAGGAGAGCCCCCTTCTTCTAGGAATCTACCCCTTGCACTGTCAGTCCTAGGAGGTCTGTTGACATTGTCTACCTCACATTTAATAAGCCAAGGTCAATTCCTGCCTTCCACCTTCCAGTTGCAAGGACTACTTCTGAGAAGGACACATGAGTTGGCTGAGGCCAATTAGAGCCAACCATGCTCACTTCTAGCTAATTGGGGAACTGGACTGGACTTATCCTAACAAGCCTGGGAGGGTTAGGATAGTTAACAGTGGACACACTATTAATATGAGGCAAGAGCCTGCCTGAAAACCTAGCCAGCCTGGAGGTAGAAAAGAGAGATAAAAGGTCAGGGCAATGGTTCCCTCACCCAGATGTTCAGTTACATGGACCAACAACTTCCTATCCCACATGAGCCATTTTGGGTTGACCAAAAGAATCTTAAATTATACCAAATTTATCCTCCCTCCAACCCTCCATTCTCAGAGGGCCAGGTGGCTCTTATCCTGGTCAAAGCCAACTCTCCAGCCTGTATCCTCAAGCTGGCTCACTTGGCCAGTGATCCCCACTCCCCTCCCCTCCCCTCCATACTAAACCTTCCAAGACTCCTTCCTAAAAGCTGAAGCCATGCTCATTTTTCTTTCTCCTACAGAAGCTACCCTGCCCTTGTTCCAAGTACCTCAAAGCATTCAGGGATCAATTTTCTGCCTGCCGTGTTCAATAGAACTTCTCAAGAGGGTGGCCATGAGCATTTTGCAATTGTCATCCCACTGACCCTTCAACCCATGCCTGCCCTGGGTCCCCACCCTCCTCAGGGTCACCAGAAGTTCCCAAGGACCCAAGTCACTCATCTCTTTTGAGGGACTTCCATGTCTCAGGGCAGTGACATGCTTGTGAAATGCTTCCACACTGGGCTCTCCTCCCACCCGGACTAGTAGGGGAAGCAGAGTCCTGAGGCTGTTGAAGACAAGGCACCAAGACTGTTCAGGTCCCTCCAGGCCCTCATTCCTCACAAGAGCCCTTCCAGGGCTGCAGAACCCACGCCAGCTCAGGGAAGTGAAGTCACTGGCCTAGAGCCATATAGGAAGGAAGCGACCAAAATGGATCCCCAGATGGTCGGACTCTCTGTGGCCCCCCTGTGTCTCAGCGTCACACCCTTGAGGGAGAGGCACATACTCAGGCTCCGGAAGGCCCCCCTCAGATCAGCAGGCAACATTTATCTTCCAAAGTGTAAAGGAGGCATCGAAGTAGGATTCAGAGCACTACAGATGCCATCAAACCTGCCTCTAGAAGCTCATTGAAATGTGACCTGCATGGGTCACCACTATATAGAGAGAGGAAGGTCAGCTTCACAACCTCTCTTGAGAAAAAGAAGAGGGGATGGACAGACCCACCAGGGCCAAGTCTGCCTCCCTGGCTCACATCTGTAAAACAGGGATGAGTCTACACTCTGCTCACCCCCTGGGGACACTGGAGACACACAGGACTTGGCAGGTGGGCAAGTCCCAGGCTCTCCACTGTGGGTGGCCCTGGAAGGTGGAGTCTACACAGGCTACAGGACAAAGAAAAAATACATCCCCATTTCCTGGCTCTACCAGCAGAGCCTGAAATCTCAGTGCTGTTTTTTTTTTTTTTTATCAAGGACTTGCTTCTTCTCCATCCTGGACAGAGATGCGGGTTCCCAGTGCCCACTTTGAGATGTCTGCTGCCAGCAAAACCCAGACTACCCTCATCCTCCTGTGGAAAGGGGAGAAGAACTGGAACCACACAGACATGGGGAAATGTTTGCAAGGTGATGGAGGTGGCATAAAGGCCCAGCTCCCCAGTAGCACCTGGGCCCAGCAAGGGGTTCTCCTGGGCCACATCCTGACTATCCAATAGGGTTAAGTCCCCAGAACACAGGTTACCCCATCTCCCTGCCCCTTCTCTTCCCCCCTGGGCCCAACATTTCTTTCCTGCCCATAAAAAGGCTGGAAAAATCCATAGGGGATGGAGCAATGTCCCGTGGGGGCCAGGGATCATCTGCTGGGCCTGCCTGGCCCTGGAGCCACATTGGGGACAATGGCCCATTGTGGGGGCACATTCTTCATTGTCTCCCAAGCTGACCCACATGGCTGCCTCTAAAAATAGGCCAGGCCAGGCAGCGTCCCCACCGACTATGGACATCAGGACTCAAACACAAGCTCGACCCTTTCCAAGCCCTCTTAGTCTCTGTGTTGTCACCTCTGAGACAGGAGAGAGCCTCTTCCACCTGCTCCTTAGGAGGCCGAGCACAGCACCACAGAACACGCAGCTGTGAGTTTTGAGGCTGTGGTAGATATGGGACACCCAGCCTGGCTGGCCAAAAATATCCCTGGCAACTCCAAGAGTGGGAAGGGACAATAGGTTTCTTTGGAAGCCTTAAGATTTCATAGCTGTGGAGCCAGAAGTAGATCTGAGGGTTTACCCCCCCAGTTCAGGAAGAAGCTACCTCAGTCTTAATATGTGTCAGATAAAAGATCTGATAAGATCTGAGCCTGGCACAAAAAAGACAAGTGTTACCCCCTGTGATGGAACATTCTCTAGTCAGTCCTGCCCCAAGGCTGGCAGAGCCTCATGGAGCACCAAGAGTTTACCTGTCTCGAGAACCACAGTGTTGTTCCTGAGGCCCCCGCCTCAGTGCTGCCCTGGACGAACAGGCCCAGCAGGTCTCAAAAGAAGAGGCAATTGGTGACAACCCAGCCTTGGAAAGTGGCGGCAACATGGCGAGGGGCACACAGGTGCAGGGTTGCCTGCTAGTCGCAGGTGGACATAGATGGGGAAGAAGATTTGCTAAGCTTGCTAACCTGACCAAGAGTCAGTCAGGGAACGTTACCAAACCCCTTTCACAGCTGAGGAAACTGCGGCAACTTCCCCAGGTCATAACTTGTAGTGGTAGAACCGTGATTAGAGCCCTCACTGGCTGGGCCCTGTGCCTTTGTGCCCAAGGTCCGCTGGATCCTTTCCAATGGGGTCTCAGCTCTGGACCCACCAGCCCACACAGGAAGGAGATCTTACCTGTGACCAAGTCCCACCCCTAAGTCTCTCTCTCTCACACACACACACACATGCACATGTGCCTCTACGCTAGCTCGGGCACTCTTTCTCCATTGGGCAAAATCTCCAAGACTGTGTCTGAGGTTGAATAGGAGAATTAAAACACTCACAAACACATGCCTTTGTCCTCTTCGGTCCCAAAAGAACATTCTGTCTTTCTGTCCCGGTGGAGATGAATCACCCAGTGTTCTGGAGACAGAAATCTGTCCTGTGTCCCCCACGTTTTCCCAAAGAGAGGGTGTAAGGAACCCAGGACATCAGAATGGCCCAGCACACTGCCTGTCCTCTTGCCTGAAGGAGGAAAGTCGCCTGTCTCAGCTCACCAGGGAAGTCCCCTCTGACCAGGATGGTGTCTGGGAACACAGTTACTCCTCCAGCATCCAGAATCCCAGGCTAGACCTCAGGAGACCTTGCTCACGGGGTCTATTCCAGCCAGGGGGTATAAGACAGAAATATCTGGGCTACACCTATTTTCTCTTGCTTGCCCTGGATGTGTCTAGAAAGCTGCTCTCTCCGATCCTGGAGGTGATAACAGCTATGGGAACCATAGTAATCATATTGGCTGTCACTTCCTACCAGGCCTGCCCTGGGTAGCACACATGTTTTCTCATCAAATCCACACTACAACCCAATTAGGTAACAGTGACCCACACTGCACAGAAAACTGAGGCTGAGAGAGGTTAAGTACCTTGCTTAAGGACACACGGCTGAACAGTGCAGCAGGATGTGAACCAACCTCCGATTTGGACTATTGGAATTTAAAGCCGGTTCTCATCGAGGTTCCTGTTTCACGCTCTGTGCAGAAGGAGTTAGGGAAACCTTCCCTTGCAATGTGCACTGAGTCCTCCCCCCATGCTGGATGCAGTAAATCATGCCCCCACATTTATCTGACTGCAGATGACTCTATCTTCCCGGCATCGCCAAGGATGAGCCACGCACATAGCATATCCTGGGTTACACTAACACTGAACAGAGAAACAGAGAGATCTGCTCCTCCCTCTCTCCTAAAACATGCGTCTCCCTTACGCTGCAGGCACACGCACCCTGATGTGTTAGACTTGAGAAGACCTCAGCACACACCTCAAGGAGGCACCTCCTGCCACCCACCATACCCATGACACCCGGTCCCACGTTCCCTTCTTTAAGGCAGCACCACAACACATTTACAAATATCTGTGTAACAGCTGCCTCCCCAACCACACTGTCAGTGCCCAGAGGCAAAGGCTGGCCCTGCTGCCAATGGGGTCTGGCCCAGAGCGTGCATGGAGAGATTTACACGGTCTATGCCGTCCATAAGCTGGCAAGTGGGGAACAGCACCTGTCACTTAGTATTCCTTAAAGATTTCATCTCTTTGGCTGCCAATCCTGGCTTGGGAGCTTTATAAACTATGGCAGACTGTGTTGGTTGGCACTCAAACATCTGTCGTTCCCTTCTTTTTTATGACAGAATTCCGATTTTGTACCAAAGAGCAAAGTGCTCCTTCTAAAATTCTCCCCTTCCTCATCTCCCTTGCAG